TTGTTGATCATTGCTAAACAACCATTTTCAGGTCTTGCCATAGATTTTCAAGTAGATTTAAGTAAAAACTGTAACTCGGCCACTCAGGAACATTCACTGTCATCTTGGTAAGCAACTCCAGTGTAGATTTGGCCTTGTGTTTTAGGTTATTGTCCTGCTGAAAGGTGAATTAATCTCCCACTGTCTGGTGGAATCAAATCAAATCAAATGTATTTATAAAACCCTTTTTACATCAGCAGATGTCAGTGCTTATACAGAAACCCAGCCTAAAACCCCAAACAGCAAGCAATGCAGATGTAGAAGCACGGTGGCTAGGAAAAACTCCCTAGAAAGGCAGGAACCTATGAAGAAACCCAGAGAGGAACCAGGCTCAGAGGGGTGGCCAGTCCTCTGCTGGCTGTGCCGGGTGGAGATTATAACAGTACATGGACATTAAGGCCAGATCGTTCTTCAAGATGTTCAATCGTTCATAGGGTCAAATAATAATCACAGTGGTTGTAGAGGTAGCAAAAGGTCAGCACCTCAGGAGTAAATGTCAGTTGGCTTTTCATAGCCGAGCATTCAGAGGTCGAGACAGCAGGCGAGAGAGAGAGAGAGAGAGAGAGAGAGAGAGAGAGAGAGAGAGAGAGAGAGAGAGAGAGAGAGCGAGAGAGAGAGAGAGAGAGAGAGAGAGAGAGAGAGAGAGAGAGAGAGAGAGAGAGAGAGAGAGATGAGAGAGAGAGAGAGAAAAAAAAAAACAGCAGGTCCGGGACAAGGTAGCACTGTCCAGTGAAGGTCAGGCTTCCATAACAGCAGAAACTGGATCAGCAGCACGACCAGGTGGACTGGGGACGGGGACAGCCAGGAGTCTAGGCTTGGGCTGTATGCCATATACTGGGGTATTTGAAAAAAGCCACAGGATTGTTTTTCAATACCGTTGAAAGTATTTATTTGACATTTTTTTTATACATTTAGTAGCTGCTTTTGAAGGAAATACCTGCAGTCAACTTGTGCAATATGTTAGGAGATAAAGAACATTGCGTTCTTCATTTCAGCTGTCTCATTATTATGTAGCTTACGGTAGTCCCCAGTCACGTGGTGTTTATTTACAAGCACACAACGACGAGACCAGAGCCTTGTGAGTCACTCACTGCCGTGCAGCATGCACCAGGTGATCTAATTAAAGTATGGTACTATTAAGTTAACTGTCTAAAATGTGCTAAATGCTCTGCAGTTGTGCATTATGTTTATGTTTGTATACAATCACGTCTCTCTATTATGCGTGGGAATACTTGGTAACAGGTTTCTTAAATTAACATCACTTGGAGCTGATTTCCTGCTGTTTTTACAGTCTTCTATATCCCAACAAAAAAAAAATAACAAAACATTTACAAAATATACACTACCAGTCAAAAGTTTGGACACACCTACTCATTCAAGGGTTTTTCTTTATTTTTTACTATTTTCTATATTGTAGAATAATAGTGAAGACATCAAAACTATGAAATAACATATGGAATCAGGTAGTAATCAAAAAAGTGTTGAACAAATAAAACTATATTTGAGATTTGAGATTTTTCAAATAGCCACCCTTTGCATTGATGACAGCTTTACACACTCTTGGCATTCTCTCAACCAGCTTCACCTGGAATGCTTTTCCAACAGTCTTGAAGGACTTCCCACATATGCTGAGCACTTGATGACAGCACTAAGGTCTAGGAGCACGAGGACAGATACAGAGCCTTGGTCTGATGCCATTAAAAGGTAATTTACCACCTTCACGAGTGCAGTCTCAGTGCTATGATGGGGTCTAAAACAATACTGAAGCGTTTCGTATACATTATTTGTCTTCAGGAAGGCAGTGAGTTGCTGCACAACAGATTTTTCTAAAATTTTTGAGAGGAATAGGAGATTCGATATAGGTAGATAGTTTCTTAAACATTTTTAGTGAGTTTGGTAAACATCCGGAGGTTATGGAGCCCTTTATTATGTTCAACATAGAAAGTAGTTATTTCAGTAGTTTAGTTGGAATATGGTCCAGTAGCCAGCTGGGAGGTTTAGAGGCCATTACTATTTTTGCGAATGTGTCGAGAGATACAGGATAAAATAACGTTGATAAAAAAAGAAAATAACTTGAGTGTCTCCATTGATCAGAGGTCCTGGCAGTTTTATGCAGACTCAGGACAACATTAGTTTTGGAGAAATATGCAGATTGAAAGAGGAGACCGTAATTTGCTTTCTAATGATCATTAACTTTTCATCGAAGAAGTTCATGAATTCTTCACTGCTGAAGTGAAGGCCATCCTCACTTGGGGAATGTTGCTTTATAGTTATCTTTGCGACAGTATCGAAAATACATTTTGGATTGTTTTTATTCTCCTCTATCAGGTTGGAAAAGTGGGCTGATCGAGCAGCAGTGAGGGATCTTCACTATTGGACGGTACTGTATTTCCAAGCTAGTCTGAAGACTTCCAGTTTGGTGGAGCGCCATTTCCGTTCCAATTTTCTGGAAGGTTGCTTCAGGGCTCAGGTATTTTCTGTAAACCAGGGAGCACATTTCTTGTGACAATTGTTTTTTTGTTTTCAGAGGTGCAACTGCATCTAGGGTATTACGCAAGGTTAAATTTAGATCCTCGGTTAGGTGGTTAACTGATTTTTGTACTCCAACTTCCTTGGGTAGGTGGAGGGAGTCTGGAAGGGCATTTAGGAATTTTTGGGTTGTATGAGAATTTATAGCGCAGATTTTGATAATCCTTGGTTGAGGTCTGAGCAGATTATTTGTTGCGATTGCAAACGTAATAAGATGGTGGTCCGATAGTCCAGGATTATGAAAAAACATTTAAATCCACAATAGTTATCCCATGGGACAAAACTAGATCCAGGGTATGACTGTGGCAATGCGTAGGTCCGGAGACATGTTGGACAAACCCCACTGTGTCAATGATTGCTCCGAAAGCCTTTTGGAGTGGGTCTGTGGGCTGGAGTGGGTCTGTGGGCTTTATACGGCCCAGGAGGCCTGTAAACAGTAGCTATAAAAAGTGATAGAGTAGGCTGCATATATTTCCTGAGATTTGAGATTTCAAGCTCAAAAGACAAAAACAATGTATTTTTTAAAATGTTTTATGAAATGTTCTGTCGAAAAGTAAATGTGGAGCTAGAGGAGTTAGAGCCCTGTCTATGTTGATAGATAAGATGAGAGCACCCCTCCAGCTAGGATGGAGTCCATCACTCCTCAGCAGGCCAGGCTTGGTCCTGTAACACCCCTCCAGCTAGGATGGAGTCCATCACTCCTCAGCAGGCCAGGCTTGGTCCTGTAGCACCCCTCCATCTAGGATGGAGTCCGTCACTCCTCAGCAGGCCAGGCTTGGTCCTGTAACACCCCTCCGGCTAGGATGGAGTCCGTCACTCCTCAGCAGGCCAGGCTTGGTCCTGTAGCACCCCTCCATCTAGGATGGAGTCCATCACTCCTCAGCAGGCCAGGCTTGGTCCTGTAGCCCCCCTCCAGCTAGGATGGAGTCCGTCACTCCTCAGCAGGCCAGGCTTGGTCCTGTAGCACCCCTCCAGCTAGGATGGAGTCCGTCACTCCTATGCAGGCCAGGCTTGGTCCTGTAGCACCCCTCCAGCTAGGATGGAGTCCATCACTGCTCAGCAGGCCAGGCTTGGTCCTGTAGCACCCCTCCAGCTAGGATGGAGTCCGTCACTCCTATGCAGGCCAGGCTTGGTCCTGTTTGCGGGGGAGTCCCAGAAAAAGGGCCAGTTATCTACAAATTCTATATTTTGAGAGGGGCAGAAAACAGTTTTCAACCAGGGATTGAGTTGTGCGAGTCTGCTGTAGAGTTCATCACTCCCCCTAACTGGGAGGGGGCCAGAGACAATTACTCGATGCCGACATCTTTCTAGCTAATTTACACTCTGAAGTTATGTTGAGCTTGGTGACCTCTGACTGTTTCATCCTAACATCGTTGGTGCCGACGTGGATAACAATATCCCTATACTCTCTACACTCACCAGTTTTAGCCAGCAACAACTTCAGATTGCGGGTAATGGCGTCGCCAATGACTAGGGTTTTCAATTTGTCAATGCTAATGGTGGGAGGCTTCGGCGGCTCAGACCCCGTAATGGGTGGAGGAGAGACCTGAGAAGGCTCTGACCAACTCATTGCTTAGTGGGGAAAACCGGTAGAAAGTTTATATCGGCTGAATGAGCGACACCGGTTGAGCATGTGACAGCATTTCTTTCCAGAAGCCATGAGAAAATTGTCCAGCTGCGGGGACTATGAAGGGGGATTAACACTCCTACCTATACTTACTGGGGGCACAGACACTGTTTCATCCTTTCCTACACTTAAATTGCCCTTGCCTAATGATTGCGTCTGAAGCTGGGCTTGCAACTCGGCTATCCTCACCATAAGGCGATAGTTCTCCTGTATATTATGAGTGCAGCGACTGCAATGAGAAGGCATAATGTTACTTAGCTTTCTTTTTTTCAGCTGGAGGAGGTCCTGCAGATCTATGTCCAGATAAAGTGTCTGGGGTGAAAAAGTTACATTAAAAAAAGTTGTGTGGGGACAAAACTAAGACCTTGGTAAACCAAAGTTTGATTAAATCGTTTTTAAGTGTAAAAAAGTGGTACTCAGTAATGTGTTGTATTTGATTTTGTCCCAAACATATCACTCAGGAAAAAAAAGTTTATTGTTTTGGCAAATTTTTTGCAGTAAGTGCCTTGTTGCAAAAATGATGCATGTTTAGGAATATTTTTTTTCTGAACAAGCTTCCTTCTTTTCATTCTGTCAATTAGGTTGAGGTGAGAAACTGGTCAAATTAAGATCCTACATCTGTAGTAGTGTAGCTGTGTAATTGCTGTATAGCTCCACCCCACATTCATATTGATAGACTAAAAGTAAAACCTCTTCCTGTTCTCATAAAGGAGGCAGCATCCCTCTATACGATGACTGAGATTAGTTGATGAGAAGCCACCTCTAATGTGGAGTGGTTTGTCTGTCTCATTCTTTCTGTCCTTAGCAGTGAGAGTCAACATGATCAGAATTCTTATCTCCGTAACCATGGGTTACACAGCCTGGGTCGCAGGTATTCAGCTCATTTCAGGAACTACTAATACTCTAATATGTTAGTTTTTTTATGGATTACTGGTGAATATGTTTTGTTTACGGTCTATCGGAATAGAGATCGACTCCGGAGAGCGAGAGAGAAGGAGAGAGCGAGACCGCGAGAGAGCGAGTCAATAGAGAAATAGCTAGAGTCTTCTCGAGTCGTCCCTCTCTCTATAGCTCTATCTCATACTTTGCATCTCTCTGCTCTCTCTCTCTCTCTCTCTCTCTCTCTCTATCTCTCTCGTCTTCTCTCCTCTCCGTCTCTCTCTCTCTCTCTCTCTCCAGGTTCTTCTCTGAGTTGACCATGTTGGCCAGGGTCCTGCAGGCCCTGTACAAGAACCAGGAAGAGTCTGCTGAGATGAAGTGTTTGCATAATTTACCAAACTATAACACCATCCTCTGGTACAAACAAGATGGACATAGACAGTTAATACTTCTGGGATACATGATTGGGGGTTCAGGATTCACTGAGGCTGGATTTGATATAGCTTTGGAAGGAGATGCTAATGCAGGTGCTACCAGCACCTTAACCATCAGAGAGCTAACTCCAGATAGCAGTGCTGTGTATTACTGTGCTGCTAGCTAACACAGTGCATCAGATCTCCCTCTCTGCTCTACAAAAACCCTCCTCCCCGATATGCTGTCAGAATCCTCACCCCTGCGTTGTCACACTGTAACCGACTCTCAGTCGGTGCCAACACGCTCACCAGCCGGCCCATTGCAAAGGGGAGGTTCCCTCTGATGGCACATTCAGGAGACCATGACATGTTATTGATATGATATCATGTCTTTCCTGTAGGTGGAGTCACAGCTCAACCAATCCATGTGGTGTTATTGATATGATATCATGTCTTTCCTGTAGGTGGAGTTACAACTCAAGAAATCCATGCGGTGTTTATTTTATTTTTATTTCACCTTTATTTAACCAGGTAAACCAGTTGAGAACAAGTTCTCATTTACAACTGCGACCTGGCCAAGATAAAGTAAAGCAGTGCGATAAAAACAACAACACAGAGTTACATATGGGGTAAAACAAAACAAAGTCAAAAATACAACAGAAATACATATAATATTCAGTGTGTGCAAATTTAGCAAGTTATGGAGGTAAGGCAATAAAATAGGCTATAGTGCAAAATAATTACAATTAGTATTAACACTGGAATGATAGATGTGCAAGAGATGATGTGCAAATAGAGATACTGGGGTACAAATGAGCAAAATAAATAACAATATAGGGATGAGGTAGTTGGGCGGGCTAATTTCAGATGGGCTGTGTACAGGTGCAATGATCGGTAAGGTGCTCTGACAACTGATGCTTAAAGTTAGTGAGGGAGATAAGTGTCTCCAGCTTCAGAGATTTTTGCAATTTGTTCCAGTCATTGGCAGCAGAGAACTGGAAGTAATTGCGGCCAAAGGAGGTGTTGGCTTTGGGGATGACCAGTGAGATATACCCGCTGGAGCGCAGACTACGGGTGGGTGTTGCTATGGTGACCAATGAGCTAAGATAAGGCGGGGATTTGCCTAGCAGTGATTTATAGATGGCCTGGAGCCAGTGGGTTTGGCGACGAATATGTAGTGAGGACCAGCCAACAAGAGCGTACAGGTCACAGTGGTGGGTATTATATGGGGCTTTGGAGACAAAACGGATGGCACTGTGATAGACTACATCCAATTTGCTGAGTAGAGTGTTGGAGGCTATTTTGTAAATGACATCACCGAAGTCAAGGATCGGTAGGATAGTCAGTTTTACGAGGGCATGTTTGGCAGCATGAGTGAAGGAGGCTTTGTTGCGAAATAGGAAACCGATTCTAGATTTAACTTTGGATTGGAGATTCTTAATGTGAGTCTGGAAGGAGAGTTTACAGTCTAACCAGACACCTAGATATTTGTAGTTGTCCACATACTCTAGGTCAGACCCGTCGAGAGTAGTGATTCTAGTCGGGTGGGCGGGTGCAAGCAGCGTTCGGTTGAAGAGCATGCATTTAGTTTTACTAGTGTTTAAGAGCAGTTGGAGGCTACTGAAGGAGTGTTGTATGGAATTGAAGCTCGTTTGGAGGTTTGTTAACACAGTGTCCAATGAAGGGCCAGATGTATACAAAATGGTGTCGTCTGCGTAGAGGTGGATCTGAGAGTCACCAGCAGCAAGAGCGACGTCATTGATATACACAGAGAAAAGAGTCGGCCCAAGAATTGAACCCTGTGGCACCCCCATAGAGACTGCCATAGGTCCAGACAACAGGCCCTCCGATTTGACACATTGAACTCTATCTGAGAAGTAGTTGGTGAACCAGGCGAGGCAGTCATTTGAGAAACCAAGGCTATTTAGTCTGCCAATAAGAATGCGGTGGTTGACAGAGTCGAAAGCCTTGGCCAGGTCAATGAAAACGGCTGCACAGTACTGTCTATTATCGATCGTGGTTATAATATCGTTTAGGACCTTGAGCGTGGCTGAAGTGCACCCCATGACCAGCTCGGAAACCGGATTGCATAGCGGAGAAGGTACGGTGGGATTCGAAATGGTCGGTGATCTGTTTGTTGACTTGGCTTTCAAAAACTTTTGAAAGGCAGGGCAGGATGGATATGGGTCTGTAACAGTGTTATGATATGATATCATGTATTTCCTGTAGGTGGAGTCACAGCTCAACCAATCCATGTGGTGTTATGATATGATATCATGTATTTCCTGTAGGTGGAGTCACAGCTCAACAAATCCGTGGGGAGTCACCAGACAAAGTACCACTGTAGACTTTGGTGTGTAGAGCTGTCTGGACCCATTCAGAAGATCCATGCCTTGTCCTCTTGAATGTTCACCTACAGTCAGTGTTGAACCAAGAATATATCACTGCTGGATATTTAAATGAACATGAATTCTGCTGCGTTTTGTGGATTGTTGTCCTTGCTGACAGGTTATAAATTGTCTATTTCCTGTATGAATGACTGCAGTATAACATATCTCTCTCTCTCCTCGTCTGTAACAGGTGAACTCTGTTCCAGAATTTCCTGAAGGAATGACTTCAGTCACTGACCACCTTCCGGAGACACTTGAAACCCTACCTCTTTAAGGAATACCTGGAATATCCCCCCCCCCCCCCCCCCCCCCCCCCCCCCCCCCCCCCCCCATAAAAAAAAAAGTGGTTGTCCCACTGGCTATCATAAGTTGAATGCCCCAATTTGTGAGTCGCTCTGGATAAGAGCGTCTGCTAAATGACGTAAATGTAAATGTACAGTATAACAGATCTCTCTCTCTCTCCTCTTCTGTAACAGGTGAACTCCTCTGTTCCAGTGTTCTCCAGTCTCCAGCTTCAGTGTTTCAGAGTTCTGGAGAAACTGAAACACCATACTGTGGTATCAGCAGGTACCATGATGGGGTATACCTAGAGGCTGAAGCTGCTCTGATATATCTACCATGATGGGGTACACCTAGAGACTGAAGCTGCTCTGATATGTCTACCATGATGGGGTATACCTAGAGGCTGAAGCTGCTCTGATATATCTACCATGATGGGGTATACCTAGAGACTGAATCTGCTCTGATATATCTACCATGATGGGGTATAGATACAGTATACTTTTGAATGGTAAAACGTCAGCCACCTTGAACATCTCAGAGATCACACTGGAAGACAGGGCTGTGTATTGAACATCTCAGTGATCACACTGGAAGACAGGGCTGTGTATTGAACATCTCAGAGATCACACTGGAAGACAGGGCTGTGTATTGAACATCTCAGAGATCACACTGGAAGACAGGGCTGTGTATTGAACATCTCAGAGATCACACAGGAAGACAGGAATATGTATTTCTGTGCAGACAGTTTGACACAGTACTGAAAACCTCCCCTCTCCCTGACTCAAACCCCTTGCTAGTAGATGCCAGGAGAACGCTACCTGCCCAAATGCACAGTGCCAACTGTAAAGTTTGGTGGAATAGGAATAATGGTCTGGGGCTGTTTTTCATGGTTCGGGCTAGGCCCCTTAGTTCCAGTGAAGGGAAATCTTAACGCTACAGCATACAATGACATTCTAGATGATTCTGTGCTTCCAACTTTGTGGCAACAGTTTGGGGGAAGGCCCTTTCCTGTTTCACTAATGCTCTTGTGGCTGAATGGAAGCAAGTCCCCACAGCAATGTTCCAACATCTAGTGGAAAGCCTTCCCAGAAGAGTGGAGGCTGTTATAGCAGCAAAGGGGGGTAGCTCCATATTAATGCCCATGATTTTGGAATGAGATGTTCGACGAGCAGGTGTCCACATACTTTTGGTCATGTAGTGTATATAGAATATAAAATAATACAAATAGGAGCAAATCAGCTGCAGCGCATTTCTACTACTAATGAGTACACACTGAGGTTCTTACTGTGGAATGCAGTGTTTGGTTTTCGCCAGACATAATAGGACCCATCTCGTCCAACAAGTTGACTCAAAAGACACCTGGAAGCACCTGGATTATCATCAAGACTCTTGGAAGAATGTTATTTGGACAAAAGTATAACTTTTTGGACGACATGGGTCCCATTATGCCTGGCGAAAACCAAACACTGCCTTCCACAGTAAGAACCTCATACCAACAGTCAAGCATGGTGGTGGTAGTGTGATGGTTTGGGGATGCTTTGCTGCCTCAGGACCTGGACGACTTGCCTTAATAGAAGGAACCATGAATTCTGCTCTGTATCAGAGAATTCTACAGGAGAATGTCAGACCATCCGTCTGTGAGCTGAAGCTGAAGCGCAGCTGGGTCATGCAACAAGACGATCCAAAACACGCAATCAAGTCTACATGAAAATGGTTAAAAAGCAACAAATTGGAAGTTTTGGAATGGCCTAGTCAAAGTCCAGACCTAATCCCAATTGAGATTTTGTGGCAGGACTTGAAACGAGCAGTTCATGCTTGAAAACCCAGAAATGTCGCTGAGTTAAAGCAGTTCTGCATGGAAGAGTGGGCCAAAATTCCTCCACAGCGATGAGAGACTGATCTACAACAACAGGAAGAATTTGGTTGCAGTCATTGCACAACCAGTTATTGTGTGTAAGGGGGTGTCACGCCCTGGCTCTGGGGACTTTTATATGTTGAGCCAGGGTGTTAGTTTCTATGTTTAGTGTTCTAGGTTTATGTTCTAGATCGTGTGTTTCTATGTTGGCCGGGGTGGCTTGTTGTCTCTGATTGGGAACCATACTTAGGCAGCCTGTTTTGCACTTGTCATTTGTGGGATCTTGTTCTGTGTAGGTTTGTGTTTGTTAACCTTGGGCTTCACGTATCGTTTATTGTTTTGTTCGTGGTGTACTTAATATATAAGAATGTACGCATATCACGCTGCGCCTTGGTCCACTCATTATGATGAGCGTGACAGAAGATCCCACCATAACAGGACCAAGCAGCGTGTCCAGGAGCAGACAGCCTGGACTTGGGAAGAGATCTTGGACGGGAAGGGGTCCTGGACTTGGGAGGAAATCCAGGCCGGAATGGTTCGCCGGCCGTGGGAGGAGACGGTGGAGGCGCGCCATAGAGAGGAGCAGCGGCGCCAACCGGGCCGACGTCGGAGAGGCAACCCCAATAATTTTTTTGGGGGGGGCACACGGCATGGACGACGGGGCTGCTGGAGGCAGCTACAGGGCGAGTTTGTGGATTAGGAGAAGAGGCCACCAGGTTTGGGGGGCTGGAAGGGAGGTTGGCGGAGCCTAGAGGTAGAGCAGAGCCAACTCCCCGTACTCAGGCTAGGCAGCGTGAGACTGGGCAGGTTCAGAGATATGCGGAGCTGCGTACTGTGCCGCGAGTGGTCCGGCACAGTCCTGTACGTCCTGTGCTAGCACCACGCACGTGTCGTGCTAAGGTGGGCATGCAGCCAGGACGGAGTGTGCCGGCTCAACGCTCGTGGCCTCCAGTACCCCTCCTCGGTCCCGGATATCCTGCGCCAGTGCCATGTGCGGTAGTGCCAGTACGAGTACACAGCCCTGTACATCCTGTGCTGATGCCTCACACAGAGTGTGTAAAAATAGGCATTCAGCCAGGACGGGTTGTGTCAGCTCTTCGCTCCAGACCTCCAGTCCGTCTCCACAGCCCGGTCCGGCCGGTTCCTGCTCCCCGCACCAAGCCAGTGGTGCGCGTCGCCAGCCCGGCCCGGCCTGTTCCTGCCCCTCGCACCAAGCCTGTGGTGCGCGTCGCCAGCCTGGTCCGGCCCGTTCCTGCTCCCCGCACCAAGCCAGTGGTGCGCGTCGTCAGCCCGGTCCGGCCCGTTCCTGCTCCTCACACCAAGCCAGTGGTGCGCGTCGTCAGCCCGGTCCGGCCCGTTCCTGCTCCCCGCACCAAGCCAGTGGTGCGCGTCGTTAGCCCGGTCCGGCCCATTCCGGCTCCCCGCACCAAGCCAGTGGTGTGCGTCGTCAGGCCGGCACAGCCCGTGCCTGTTTCACCGGTGCCTGGTCAGCTGCTCCACACCGGAGCCTAAGCAATCCGCTCCACCGATGTCCAGTCCAGCTCCAGCCAGCGGGACCAGACCAGGGGCGCTACAGGGGGGTAGTTAGAGAGTGGTGGTCACGCCCGGAGCCGGATCCGCCTCCGAGGTGGAATGCCCACCCGGCCCCTCCCCTGTTGGGTTTAGTTGGCGCGGTCGCAGTCCGCGCCTTTGGGGGGGGGGGGGTACTGTCACGCCCTGGCTCTGGGGACTTTTATATGTTGAGCCAGGGTGTTAGTTTCTATGTTTAGTGTTCTAGGTTTATGTTCTAGATCGTGTGTTTCTATGTTGGCCGGGGTGGTTCCCAATCAGAGGCAGCTGTGGCTTGTTGTCTCTGATTGGGAACCATACTTAGGCAGCCTGTTTTGCACTTGTCATTTGTGGGATCTTGTTCTGTGTAGGTTTGTGTTTGTTAACCTTGGGCTTCACGTATCGTTTATTGTTTTGTTCGTGGTGTACTTAATATATAAGAATGTACGCATATCACGCTGCGCCTTGGTCCACTCATTATGACGAGCGTGACAGGGGGCAATTACTTTATCACACAGAGGAATTGGGTGTTGCATAACTTTGTTAAATAAATCAAATATAATTGTATTTTGTTATTTGTAAACTCAGGTTCCCTTTATCTAATATTAGGTTTTGGTTGAAGATCTGATAACATTCAGTATAAACAAATATGCAAAAATAGAGAAAAATCCGAAAGGGGGCAAATACTTTTTCACGGCACTGTTCATATCACATTAATTGTGCTAAATATGATAGCTAACGTTAGCTAGCTAAGCGCTAGCCGGTCAGTGGCACTGACAGATTGAAACAGGTATCAACAAAATGGCTTTCACTCTATCCCATAAAACATGACATTGCTAACTAGGAATAATTTAGCTAATAAAATGTAAAAGTTTATTAGGAAGTTGAATTAAAAAGTTAGACACTCACCGGAAAACTTTGGTAGGTAGCTAGCTAGCTAGCTTGGTTTCCATTTTCCAACAGATGTTTCTAACCCCCCTGATCGGTCATCAACGGTTACTTGTCTTGGAACTTGTTGCCACAGATTCAAATTGAATCTTGAGAGAATTGTCTGCCAGAAAAAAAGCTCTGGCGAACTGTGCCAATAAATATTATTGTTGCCAAAGGTTTGCCGCAGATTCACCACTAGTGGCAAACATTTGCAAACTTCTGGCAACATTTTGTGGCACACTATTTAGTTTGCAGCAATTTGCCACAAACTTGCGGGGAAGTTTGCCGCAACAAATTCATTTTTTGTAAGGGCATATTCCCACTAATATTCCTTTATGTAATTAAGCTTTTACATGTGTATTTTAATTATAATAATAATATTTTATTTGTAGAGCTCAATGCACACGTGAAGCTTGTTGGTGCTTGCTTCTGTGCACAAATAATTTGACCACTGCAGTTTGAGATAATTTTTTCCCATTTGATTTTTATTTATTTTTTATAATTTTTTAATGATTTTATGAAAAGAAGCTGATACTGGACTTCATTATTTACTGTTTTATTTCTGATATTTTAGCTTAATTAAAATAATAGTGATAAAGAGTAGAGATAAAGGAAATGAAAAATGCAGAGCATGCCCAGAGCTTGTGGATCAGCGGTACCAGAGCTTGTGGATCAGCGGTACCAGAGCTTGTGGCTGAGCGGTACCAGAGCTTGTGGCTCAGCGGTACCAGAGCTTGTGGATCAGCGGTACCAGAGCTTATGGATCAGTGGTACCAGAGCTTGTGGATCAGAGGTACCAGAGCTTGTGGATCAGCGGTACCAGAGCGAAATTGGAGCAGAAGAGAAAAGAAAATGCTGGAATTACGCTCTGCTCCTCGCCCACTTAGCCATGCTCTGGCATTCAAAAGCAGCCCTGCTTTAGGTTATAAAAAAACGGTCAATTAATAATCATTTCAATTAATGGAATCAGTGTATGTATGGCTGCAGCAACCATTACCCGGCCTGACAAGCTGCATAACAAATTAGGCCTAATTAGAGAAAATAACAATTAAGTAATTCAAACAAGATAATACATAGTTCAAATGAATTAGTATCTTGTTTGAATGACTTAGTATCTTGTTTGAACGACTTAGTAAAGGCTTCAGGGCTTCCGTACAATGTTGTCATTACCTAGCAAAGTTTGTAAAAAATAGCTTGCAATAACAACGTTAGCTAGGTATAATCCGTTGGTCTCCTCTCAATCTTAAGTAGCTAGCAAACGTTATACTGCATTGAAAGTCAACCTGACAACATCAAAATGATGACAAAAGGCTTTCCTACTAATTATTTGCCTTCTTTAGAAATGTAGTTGTATTTCCAAGTCACTGTAATGCACTTTTTCATGCATTCCATTAATAATATAAGATAACATTAAAGCGGTCTGATGTCACGCTTCATTCTGTCATCACATCACTGATGACATCACATCTGTTTCTCCTCCTCTCCAGTCAGTTCAGACGAGATGTCAGATGGTATTCAACAATCAAAGAGAGTCAACATGTGCAAACCTCTCTTCATTTTTACTGTCCTACTATTCTGGATTGCAGGTATTTTAACTACAGTTATTTAGTAGTTCCCTACAATACTTATTAAATATGACAGTGTAACAATGTGTATGAATGTGTTACAATAACTACTTAACAAAGGTTTCATGCAAACTTAAGGAATTTTGGTACAATCATTTTTTATGTATTGTAAAGTAAAAGTAATTCTCTCTATCTCTCGCTCTCTCGCTCTCTCGCTCTCTCTGTCTCTCTGTCTCTCTCTGTCTCTCTTTCTCTCTCTCTGTCTCTCTTTCTCTCTGTCTCTCTCTCTGTGTGTCTGTCTCTCTCTCTCTGTCTCTCTCTCTGTGTGTCTGTGTCTCTCTCTCTGTCCCTCTCTCTGTGTCTGTGTCTCTCTCTCTGTCTCTCTCTCTGTGTCTGTGTCTCTCTCTTTGTCTCTCTCTCTCTGTGTCTGTGTCTCTCTCTCTGTCTCTCTCTCTGTGTGTCTGTGTCTCTCTCTCTGTCTCTCTCTCTGTATGTCTGTGTCTCTCTCTCTGTCTCTCTCTCTGTGTGTCTCTCTGTCTCGCTCTCTGTCTCTCTCTCTGTGTGTCTGTGTCTCTCTCTCTGTCTCTCTCTCCATCTCTCCCCAGGTGTCTCTCTCAGTAAAGTAGTGTACCAGTCTCCCTCTACACTGCTGGTAGAGCCTAATGCGTCTGTCTCTGTAACACTCAACTGCAGTCATAAAATCACTAGCTATGACACTATCCTCTGGTACCAGCGTTCTGTGGGAGACACGGCTCTGAAACTCATTGCATATGTATTCTTGACAACGCAGACTGTTGAACCCTCATATAAAGGTTACTTTGACGTGAAAGGAGATGGGAGGAAAGATGCCTTCCTTCAACTCCTCAAACTGAGACAAGCTGAAGACAGTGGGGAGTATTTCTGTGCTGCTAGTTATACACAGTGTTACAGCATCCCCTTTCTACACTACAAAAACCTCTCTCTCTCTACCTAGCAGATCCATCTGGTACTGGATCAAAACACCTGCATTAAACCACATGAACTAACAGACCTCTGTTCAGACACTGTCAGAGAGGTGAGAGGGAGATTTGATTTGGTGCCAATATACTGTAACCACATAACTAGAGTGAGTACAACGGGCCACCCCATTTAATGGGTGGAAAGGCAGCCATCCTTTCCAGAGATCCTATTGACTATTCTAGAGACTGTAACAGCATTCTGTCATAACATCTCTGATGTTGTCACTTCCTGTTCCTCCTCATCTCTAGTCAGTTGAGATGTCAGTTGGTTTTAATGTTCAGCTCTGAGAGTCAACATGTTCGAACCTTTCTTCAGTATCCTTGTTTTACTCTTTTGGCTCACAGGTAATAACATTCATCTTGGACATTATCATTTGTTTAGATGTACTGTAGGCCTACAAAATATGCATTTGCATCCCTTATCTAAGCATATGATAGTGAAAGTCTTCTCTCCATCTCTCTCCAGGTTTCTCTCTCGGTGTTGAGGTTCACCAAACTCCCTCTGAAGTCTTCAACAGACCTGGAGAGAACGTTCAACTCTTCTGCCACCATAAAACATCTAACTATAGGGTGATGTTGTGGTACCAGAAATTACAAGGAGAAACTGCACTAAAACTCATAGGATATCTACATTTTCCAGAATCCAACCATTGAAAGTTCACATGAAAAGCATTTCAATATGAGTGGGGATTTGGGCGGCGATCATCCCAAGAACGGCTCTCTTAATATTTTCAATGTTCAACATCCCGAACACGGTGCTGTGTATTTCTGTGCTGCTGGTGATGCACAGTGTTGCACAAGCCCCTCTCTACACCACAAAAAGCCTCTCAGTAGATTATACAATAAAAGATGAACATCATCCTCACACCTGTTTTTGAGGTCTGGATTTTAATTAGTGTCAATTTAACAGGGTTTTCGTCTTGACATCACCGATGATGTCACTTCCTATTACTCCTGCGCTCCAGTCAGTAGAGACGGTTTGTTGGTTGATTCAGGTTAATTGGTCGTTGGATGATCATCAGTGATGATGTCACTTCCTGTTCCTCCTCCTCTCCAGTCAACACGTACAACCCTCACATCATCTACACGCTCTTTTGGCTGACAGGAAATAATCTCGATCATGTTTTAGATTAATAGTATGGGTACAATGTATATTAACTCCTTATCTATTCATATGATAGTGAAAGTGTTCTCTCCATCTCTCCCCAGGTCTCTCTCTCTCTCTCTCAGCGTGGAGGTTCACCGGATTCCCTCTGCAGTCTTTAGCAGACCTGGAGAGAACGTTCAACTCTTCTGCCACCATCAGAAATCTGAATATAGGGTGATGTTGTGGTACCAGCGTACACCTGGAGAAGCAGCACTGAAACTCATACGAGATCTGTATTATTAGAAAAAAAGCATTTATTTATTTAAGATTGTGCCGGATGAAATCTCTTGAGATGCTCCATCTTGTTTTCAAGAGTGTCCAAATGAAAACAACTAAACAAACCAACAATACCTAGTAACAAGAATACTATGGCAACAACTAAACAAACCAACAATACCTAGTAACAAGAATACTATGGCAACAACTAAACAAACCAACAATACCTAGTAACAAGAATACTATGGCAACAACTAAACAAACCAACAATACCTAGTAACAAGAATACTATGGCAACAACTAAACAAACCAACAATACCTAGTAACAAGAATACTATGGCAACAACTAAACAAACCAACAATACCTAGTAACAAGAATACTATGGCAACAACTAAACAAACCAACAATACCTAGTAACAAGAATACTATGGCAACAACTAAACAAACCAACAATACCTAGTAACAAGAATACTATGGCAACAACTAAACAAACCAACAATACCTAGTAACAAGAATACTATGGCAACAACTAAACAAACCAACAATACCTAGTAACAAGAATACTATGGCAACAACTAAACAAACCAACAATACCTAGTAACAAGAATACTATGGCAACAACTAAACAAACCAACAATACCTAGTAACAAGAATACTATGGCAACAACTAAACAAACCAACAATACCTAGTAACAAGAATACTATGGCAACAACTAAACAAACCAACAATACCTAGTAACAAGAATACTATGGCAACAACTAAACAAACCAACAATACCTAGTAACAAGAATACTATGGCAACAACTAAACAAACCAACAATACCTAGTAACAAGAATACTATGGCAACAACTAAACAAACCAACAATACCTAGTAACAAGAATACTATGGCAACAACTAAACAAACCAACAATACCTAGTAACAAGAATACTATGGCAACAACTAAACAAACCAACAATACCTAGTAACAAGAATACTATGGCAACAACTAAACAAACCAACAATACCTAGTAACAAGAATACTATGGCAACAACTAAACAAACCAACAATACCTAGTAACAAGAATACTATGGCAACAACTAAACAAACCAACAATACCTAGTAACAAGAATACTATGGCAACAACTAAACAAACCAACAATACCTAGTAACAAGAATACTATGGCAACAACTAAACAAACCAACAATACCTAGTAACAAGAATACTATGGCAACAACTAAACAAACCAACAATACCTAGTAACAAGAATAATATGGCAACAACTAAACAAACCAACAATACTTAGTAACAAGAATACTATGGCAACAACTAAACAAACCAACAATACCTAGTAACAAGAATAATATGGCAAATACTGTCTAATAATAATAACAATACAATTATTATAATTAAAATAAGAAAACGTACATTAAAGCAGCAATATGTAACTTTTTGGGCAACCCAACCAAATTCACATAGCATTGTGAGTTATAGATCTGTCATTATCATTGAAAGCAAGTCTAAGAAGCAGTAGATCTGTGCTATGTGCGCTATTTCTATGCTTCCTGTTCTTAAGTTCTGTTTTTGGGGGTCTTTCGCTTTCAGTTTTGTACACCAGCTTCAAACAGTTGAAAATACAATATTTTTTTGGGACCGTTTATTACATTTGGGTTCTGCTCCTTTGTTGATATTCATCTCATTGAGGAGAGGCATCAGTTGGTTTCATCTTTCTGACGTTAAATGTCTGATTTGGGGTGTTGATTTCCTGCTTGGTATTGTAAACCAAAATCTTTTGGGGTCCTTAAATTAACGCTTTATCCAATAAATCTTTAAGACTTGGTTAAGAGTAGTGAAGTCCATCACATTAGGACTGCCCTCACACTCTGTCTGTAAGAACATATAAAGTTAAACAGCGTCTTATCTAATTGCCAGCAAATAGATCTGGGACTGTCAAGACAAGAGAACACATAGGCTGTAAACAAGCCTTCAGCCTTAGTCAGCAAAAGTATTCCTTGAATGAACAAATCTCTGCCTAACCATGCTGAGACATCCGGGTAAAGATTAAAGTTCTTCAGTCTCTCCTTTTCTTTTGTAATTTTTTTTTATCCCTAAATAAATTACAGTGTCTTTGACTGGAATAGTGCTTCAGTGATATCAGTACCTTTCAATGCTAAAATGTCACACTTTTTCAAATTCAGATTTAAACCTGCATTCTTTGAAAAGGGCTAGAGGAACTTCCAAATGGCTTTAAAAAAAATAAATAGTGGTATCATCTGCCAAATGGGATATCTTAAATTCTCTTTCATCTATCTTAAGACCTGTAAAGAAATTCTGGGATACTGGTTAGATGTAAAACCTGAGCTGTCAAGAGGTAGTGGAATGGATTAAACCTTGCCTCACTCCTCTGTTGACTTCCAATCTAGGTGATGTACCATTGGCAAGTTTTACAGACCTATTACTTCCATTGTATAGAGTTCTTATTGATTTAATAACGAAATCTCAAATGTAAAAAAAATGGTAGGGTATCAAAAATTAACTTACATTACACTGGCTTTCTGGAAATCTAGAAATAAAACCAAAGGGTCATCATCAAGTAGTACTACCAAATTAAGATCTCAAATAAGAGTAGCATTAGCTAGCTTACGTTAGCTAACGTCAGTCAAAGATAGAACGAACAAACAAATGTGTTTACTCTGCTGAAGGCAGCTATCAGTCTAGTAGTGACTACCATGGCATAAGCCAAATTGATTGACAGTGTGTATACCAAAAGATAGCTATATGATTTAGCTGATGGCTTTCAGAGATCAATACAGGACTGTAACATTAGCTAGCTAGCTGCCTTACTTAGCTAGTCCAGCTAGGCTAGCAAGTTAGCTAACTTTAGGTTACCTCTAATCGAGAATCTTCCGTTTTGTTGTGAAGGAAAAAATAATCAATGGTATCGCATCACTTCTCAGCTGTCGTTGAAATGGATTCCCAATCAGTTCAGCCTGAAAATCCCTCTGATGACCTTTGGTCACTGCATCATTCTTGATAGCCGCAAGCCACTGGCAGAATCAGGGTGAATCCACTGGTAGGGTTAGGGTTACAGGGTGAATCCACTGGTAGGGTTAGGGTTACAGGGTGAATCCACTGGTAAGGTTAGGGTTACAGGGTGAATCCACTGGTAGGTAGACCTGTGAAACATAACACATTTTCACGCTTGTTTGTAATTAGCACAGCCAGGCACAGAACACTACACGGGCATGATGACAAACATCAGTGAAAAACTTGCCTAGAGAAGTTCTGAGATTACTGTGTCGTTCGAAGTAAAGAACGCCATTATTCAAGTTTGTGGCCACGCCCCTTCTACCTAGCGGGCGATATCAGCATTCGCTGCTGTACTTTGTGGTTCACCGTGAGCATACGAATACACGGGGAGTCGAAACATCCCGATTCTACCAGTGGAATGAAAATGTGCGAGTTCTAGCTTGTGGTTTGGATAATTTGTGATGTTTATGATAAAAACGTAATGTTGTTAACATAGTAATGACTATATGCCGTGGCAGAGCCCGGGTGAAATTCCCCTTTAAAGGCCCCGAACACGGTGCGACCTGATCACAGTGCTGGTATTTCTGTGCTGCTAGTGGAGCACAGTGTTGCAGATTCCGTCTCTACACTACAAAAACCTCTATATCACTTTCAGGGATATATGAGCACACCCTCACCTGCACTGAGTCTGGATTTGATTCAGTGCCAATATATGAATATACAGTAAAGCTGGCTGTCACGCTGCATTCCATTACATCACTGATGAGGTCACTTCCTGGCCTCCTCTCCTCAATGAAGTCCAATACATGTACCACACATTGTCATAATCATGATTCTGTCCTCCTCTTCGGATCACGGTAATTTAGCTACAGTTGTTTTACTATTTCCTCAAATACAAATCTGACTTATGTATCTTCTGGATCAAGGTTTCAGTACAGTTATTATAGTTCCAATTTGTATAAAGTAAATCTGTACAATAATTACTTCAAAGGTTTCATGCAAAGTTAAGGAAATTTGGTACAATTGTTTGTTATGTATTGTCAAGTAATATGAATCCTCTCTCTCTCTCTGTCTCTTCTTCTCTGTGTTCTATCTGTTCGCTCTCTGTCTCTCTCTATGTGTGGCTGTGTTCTCTCTCTCTGTCTCTCTATCTCTTCTTGTCTCTCTCTCCATCTATCCCAGGTGTCTATCTTCAGTAAAGTAGTTATACCAGTCTCCCTCTACACTGCTGGTAGAGCCTAATGCGTCTGTCTCTGTAACACTCAACTGCAGTCATAAAATCACTAACTATGACACTATCCTCTGGTACCAGCGTTCTGTGGGAGACACGGCTCTGAAACTCATTGCATATGTATACTTTACAACGCAGACTGTTGAACCCTCATATAAAGGTTACTTTG